TATTTAACACAATATAATCATCAGCTATTACACACGTACCAAGATACTTCTGATATCTACCGTTAAAACCAGCATCATTTAACACAATATAATCATCAGCTATTACACACGTACCAAGAAACTTCTGATATCTACCATTAAAACTAGCATCATTTAACACAATATAATCATCAGCTATTACACACGTACCAAGATACTTCTGATATCTACCATTAAAACTAGCATCATTTAACACAATATAATCATCAGCTATTACACACGTACCAAGATACTCCTGATATCTACGAATTCAAAGGAAAAAAGTCACCCTCGCACCAAAAAAAAGGACGGGGGGGGGGACATGTATGTAGGGGATCAGCTTTTACAGTGTAATTCAACAGACTAAAAGAATAAGTGTTATGTGTGCTTAAACGCCAACACAAATTTACAGTTTTAATAAAAATTACTAAAAATATATAGTTTAACTACGATGTTAAGTTTACATCATAATACGTGCAATTTTTTTGTGAAATGTAAGGGGGCAAATCCCCTCCTCTTGCCCCTTCCTGTGGGCGCCCATGTATGTATGGAGATTGGCCTCAAAATAATTGCCATGAATTGATGTTAGATCGAAAGTAAATCTATGTTTTCATACGTTATAAAATTTCCATTAATATTTAAGCAGCGGGCTAAGAATGACAGCCGCATACTTTTTCATCTTAGTTGGTGCAGTAAGTACAGGAGTAAGTACTCTCTAGAGTGCAGTGCAGTTTCTGGGGTGTCTATCTACTTTAGAAGTTCAGATTGATTCTGGATGTTACAGTACTTTTGTCCTAAATTTCTCATAGATAAATTCATTTACTTCTTTGTTTTACACACTGCAACCAAGTTATGTTAAAATGAATTTTGTAGTGATTTTTAAGCAGCTGCCAAAAAAATTCTCAGAACAAGAAAACCACACTTCTCCATAAATATCTTTAGTATTTCAATGTGAATTTCTGAAAATATTAATAAAATCAATTAAGACTGTGAGGGTCAACCAGAAGGTCATACCTCAATATAAAGGATTAAGCAATTTTGTGGGTCTGACTTTTTTTTAAACTAATATACAAGTCTTGCCAGTTTAAACTTCTGTATGGATTTTGGCACACAAATCATTAAAGTAACCTGTATTCAAGTCTTTCACATTGCTAGCAGTTAATGAAAGTGGAATTGGAAGGCTTCAACATGTGTTTGTGGCCTGATATTGGACGTAATGTTCTAAAAATCTGGTTGTGAACACATGAAAATGTTTAAAAATAAACAATAAATTAAATACGAAAAAGTAGTCTTTATAGATGTATATATACATACAAATACAAACATACATGTGAACTGGATGAGTTGTTCCATTAAATATATATTAATGGTTTCATCATTCATACAAAACGCCCTTTTTAACAGAATTCGTTTGATCTTTGACAAGATACTCAAAATTGTGGCATAAAACACCATATAAAAACAACAAAAAGAAACAACAAATTAAATAACTGTGTTTACATGAAACAATGAGGGTATCACAAGCCCTATCCAGCAGCTT